TGATTACGATGTATGTTGTCATCATAAATCGATTTCATCAATGAACATCTTATGTGTTTGCTCTTGAACAAAAAAAACAATTCTTTTTTCTTGTTGCATAGAATATACTCTTCAACGTTTAAATTGGTATGTCTCAGTCTCATATATATTCATTATACATAACAAACAATAAAAAATGACAACAGCTGAACACTGCTGTTACAACCATAAAAATAAAAAAGAAGAAGAAGAAACGATGAAATCGAGCAAAATGACATCAGCCAACATTCTATTCATGTTTATATTAACAAATCAACATGTTCTATTCCTACTCACAGTATATATAAACCCTGGGGCTGATGATGATGATGATGATGATGATGTTGTTGTTATTAGAAAAGACGATGAAGATAAGATTTCACAATTGTTGTTTATGTCAATCTTATTTGTTCTTCATCTCAATTTGCTTGTTGATAGTTATGACACGAGTGAGTCGTATGTATGTTCAATTAGAATAGAAGTGCGAAAATGAGAAAAAAAAAGAATATTACAATTCTTCTTCTTCTTCTTCTTTCTCTCCTCTACTTCTTTTCTCTATCTCTCAAGTACAATCGATCTTGATGATGATGATGTAATCTGTTGTTATCAACATTATTTTCAGACATGGTCATGGTTCAATTGAAAATCGAAAAAGAACTTTTTTCTTTTTTTCATCAATCTTTTTCTTTCTATCTCAAGAGACTCGTCGGGTTCCGCGTGTGTAATTTTACATAAGTTTCTCCTTCTTCATCTAGATCTCAATAGAGTTTTCAGGAGAAACAATCATTACTATCGTCGACAATATCTCTTGAGCGACATGCAAAGCGATAATAACAACATTGTTACTATCATGAGACATTCACGTACTATAGTATCAAGGACAAAAGAGAGCACAAGAGAAAAAAAACCGATTGATTAGATTTGTTTCTCTTTGACTTTTTGTTTATATATTTATAATTATCCGTACAAGATATACGTTAGATTTAACTAATGAGAATGATCATGATTATGATAGACGAAGCTTAAATACAGGAAATTTCTTAACAATAATAATAATAAAGAGTACAACTATATCTCCTGGACATTGCGTGTAGACATATATGAACGATACACATTGTCCATAAGATGAATAGACGACTAATCATCAGATGACTCTTATTGTTTTCATAAGGTTTGAATTAATTTATAAGAAACAAAAAAAACTTATTAAAAACATTTCAATCATTTTGAAATATTACTTTCTCATAGAAAAAAAGAAAAGAAAAGATTTAATCTATGTTCAATTTAGATTCAATAATGATGATAACAATAATAATAATAAAAAAATGAACATGCGGTTTATATATAAATATTGCTGTTAGATAGTTTAGATTTGAATGACAATTGCATCTGCTTTGACCTCGAAATAATGATTAGTTTTCTTGTTGTATATGTTCTCTTTAATGAGCAATGGTAATAACAGAAAACGAGAGAACAAATGTCAATATGACAAACTATTTTCAAACATATAATGATTATGACATTAAGTTATTTAACAAACGCAGAATACAATATATAAATGAATTAATATACAATAAATATAAGTATTTAACGATAATAATAATGATAATAATATCTGTCATTAACTTATTGATCTTATTATTTTGTCTTTGAATGTTTAAAGATATCTATTAAGAATTACGCAACCGTTTACTGAGTTTTTTTGTTTTTTTTCTTATTTAAATGATCTAATTTAATATTATAAAGATAAAAAGAATTTATGATGAGTTCTAAACGTTATTTTTGTTGCCAATAGTTCAGAGAGTTTTCATTATATAAATGAAATCTTACATCAAAATCAGTCTAATTAATCATGAAAATGCACTATACAAAATTCGTCTGATTATAACATCAATCAAATATTGATCAAAGAACAATTCATAGTACGACCTTGGCTTGAAATATAAATAGTAGATAGATACATCAGACATTAATAGAATACTATATTTTAAACATGTAATTGTGTAAACAAAAATATAAAGATAATTTTTTTTTGTTATTATTGATTTTCTTTTAAGGATATAGTGAAGAAAACAAAATCAGGAAAAGTTCGGGAAAAAATTTTCCTTAATAGGTTAAAAGATATATTTAGAATTCTTTAAAAGCAACTGAATATAAAATTTTTTATCATTAAAAAGAATGATTTTTTTCTGGAAAAATAAAAATCTTCGTAACATATGGCGGGTACATGCACCCATATTTGTCATGATATACCGAACATTTTATTACAAATATTTTACTAATAAAGTAAATAAATAAACAGACGTCAAATGATGCCATAAATTTCATTGATTCTTTCGATATCGAAATCAATGATAGCCATGTTAGACATTAACCTTGTATGACACCTTGAATTCAATAAAATCTTATTACGGATAAATGTCAATAGAATTGTCAATGACATATTTCTTGAAGAACAAATATACGGAATGTTTATACAAAAAAAAAGAAGAACAAACACTCGTTTAACAAATCATGTTATCAGACAAAGAAATATTAATTATGATGATTTTAAACAAACTTGAATATATAGCGATTGTAGATTTGTTTTCGACATTGATATATGATTGAATTTCATTCACTAATTTATGAAAGTAGATCAGTATAGATGATAGAAGAAATAGTTTGTTCTTTTTTTCTTTCTGAAGAATTATTTATCATTTCAAAGTCATATTTAAATTATAGTTTTCATTGCCTGTTATATTTTTTTTTATGTATTCCTAGGTAAATATTACATCGGTCTTCTATACTCATCAGAATACTATACAAACAGCTTATGTTAAACTCAATCATATGACCAATATGTTAGAATACACTTGTCGTCATCAGTGTCAGATAACAAATCCAAAAAAAAAATTCTATTAACCATATTTCATAAGAATAGTAATAAAGATCTATCTAATATTTACTTGAATGATATGAAATTTGACTTGTTCACATAAGAATCTCGGCAACTTATAATCGATGATTCAGACAAACCAAAGTTATCAATCAATCAATGATGTATTGATCAATCGAGATAATCGATATGTTTATTCTCTTGTTTGATATATCGATCAAATCATATATTGAACTAAATATTGAACTAATCATTTTTCTGTGAGTTTAGATTATCCGTACATTTATTTCAAACAATAATCTTTCAATTCGAATACAATGAAAAACAAAAACTTCATCACTAAAAATTCATTATATTTTAAAAATAATGTTAATAGAATTCTAAATTGAAATAGTTTAGAGAAAAAAAGTCTTTTGACTTCATCAAGCACATTTTAATTAGTTAATAATGTAGAATAGGATCTATTCACTATGAACTTTGAATTATACAGAAAATAAAAAGTCAACAGATCTTAATGAGACCGTCTTTTTAGGCCTATTTTCAGTTGAACTTTTCTTCCGTTTTTTTTCCTAAAAGTCTTATAATCTTAAATGATTTGTCATAGAAGAACGAGTAAGATTGACTGTAATGTAAAGAATTTATTTTCTAATAAACCTCAGAAAACTAAACCTTAACTTCATAGTAAAAAAAAGTCAAGTAAAAATGTCGTTGACAATTTGCGCAGATAAAACTACTGCGATTAAATGCATGTAAAAAAAACATTGTCGGTTATAAATAGTTTAAACAGAACAAAGAGTAAAATGGTGATATTAAATAGAAAGATTTTCTAGATAGGAAAAATATGTAATTTGTATTTATGCAACGAATTTCGTACCTTAACATACATACACATTATATTTAAGTAAATATACTCTACATTATGAATTTAAGAAAATCTTAGATTTGATTTATGTTTTCTTTTTACTATTGATTGCGACGATCTCAAAAAATTAGTGAAATAACCAAGCGTGGGATAAACCATACATCGCCCTACGACCAAAACAAAGAAAAACGTAATAGCTATTATCATTGACACTATATTACATGAATTACCTTCAAGGCTGTATAGCACTTTCCTTTCACCTGCTATCTCGTGGTTATCTCACTACCAAAATTAGAATCAATAAAATTTTCATCTTCTAATTTCTATAACTTCGAAATTGTAATCCAAGTTATATATAACAATTTTTTTTCTTTTCACAAATTTGTCAGAAAATTTTTAATCTATCATGAAAGAGTTCAATATGGACACAATAATAGAAGACACATTAAAGTCATGATTTATGTATATATATTTTTTTTGTGTCTGCTAATATTGAATACGTATGCTAAATATATATATATTTAGTTAGATTTTGTATATTACACAGACATGCTTTATCCTCAATCACGTATGTATGTATGTAGAAAATTCCTTTTAAGTACATCTCATCTTTATTTGTTATTTTTAACATTCAATAATGACACATAATTATAAAAGAAAAATATTCCGAAAGCAAATATTTTAATTAAGAAAAACACGACATGTATAGACAGTCTCTATTAATAAACTTGATTTTGTTAACTTCTAACATTAATATCGACAATTAAATTAATAATTAGCAATGACTCAATCTTACAATAAAAACAAATGATTAATACTCTTTTTTTTCCAAATTGTATGCAATAAAAATTTAAGATTTAAAGAAATATGTATCTTTGATAATAAAACTCAACTAGAAGAAAAAGAACACATTCTTTCTTTCACATATTCATGATAATTAAATAATCCTTTGAAGTTCAAAGCAAACAATGTTCACAAGTTGACATCAAGTTTATTATGAGTTATATTACTATGATTAAAAATCTTCATATTCCTTCTGAAATTTTTCCGCGAAATTCAAATAAAATAAAAGAATATATATTTAATTAAATAACATACATAAATACGTATATTATTATATTTATTGATGATCTTGCAAAAAAACTAAATCCATCAAGCATTTAAAACAAAAACATATGGCATATGTTAAAGTACGTAAAAGTACTTAAAAAAATAATTCAAATCACTATGGGAATAATAAAATTAATTTTCTTTGTTAAACATCATTCGTTGAAGAAATTCATTATATGATATATGGTGATCATGATTTATGTCGAAAAATTGAAATATATCATCATTTGATGTAGTTGAAACTTGATGTTCATCATCATCATCATCATTGCGTCGAAGACGCCATCGACCAAGAATCGTATGATATTCGTGGACCTATACAAAACAAAATAAAAATTCTTAAAATAAATGAAATTTTCTTTAATTTTCAATACTTTTTGTAAATATCTTTTCAATTCTTCTCGTGAGTTAAAGCGTTCCGGACGTTTTGGTGGCGCTAAAAGAAATAGCAGAAAATAATATATCTTCCAGAAAAATATTAAAATTCTTATTAAAGAAGAAAAAAACATACGTGGTACTTCAGTAAAACTTGCTTGAACAATATAAATTAAAGTCATCATCAATAAGAAATATGTAATTGTAACTTTAGATATCATCATACTCATCTAATCTAGAAGAAATTCATAAACAACTACTAACAATTTTTTAATCTTATAAAAGAAACCATAATGAGTGTTTTCATATTTATATATTTATAGTAGATTGAGTTTCCTGCAATTATGATATAAAGAGCTTACGAAATACTCAAAGTACAAATATTTAATTATATTAATATTTCTTTTAGTACCTATAAGTGAAATGAGCTGGAGACTTCAAAATGAGTCTTAAACATGTTTACAAAATATGTCCGCAAAAGATTCAATGCTTTAGATAATTATCTTACCGTTTTGTTTTCCAAGAAAACTCGACTTAAGAAAATTTTCTGACGTATAAAATTTTTTTTCTATGAATACTATATATAGTCTCTAAAAATGTGTAAGATGTTTTTTTTTTGCAATTATA